CTCACCTATTCTTTTGGGTAAAATGACTCCATAGACTTCTCTTGCTCATGTCAAGAACATTTCTGGGCCGAGTTCCTGCAATCATATTAAACGATACTTTTAGCGCTCATCAACTATTAATTACATATAATTTACTCATACAATACACTCTTAAATGCCTCTACCCCCATGCGTCTCTAAATGACCATGCATTAAGTACGAAGGGACAGCTGCAAATTATCTGCAACGCACATTGATTGATTGTTTGGGGGATTACGCAAATAGTACCACTCGGTTTGCACCCCAACCAGAAAGTAATAAAGTTTTCTGTCCACGAGAATAATATAGAGTAAAATATATGATATGTAATAAAACACTGGCAGTTCACCCATTTGCATGAGTGACCTACAACAGTATTTAGCATACTGCATGGATTGGAGGAGTCTACCCATTCAACACCTTTTCAACAAAGCTCACAGTGAGCCAAGTTATTTAACATCACGGGCATCATTTACTCGGCCTCAAAAAATAACTTACAACTTAATTGTGCGTGGAAACATTGAGCCACAAGGAGAACACTAACCTCCTACAACAATAACCGGAATGGAACAATTCAATATTCCGGACCGGAAACAATCAAGCACTATACCTTGCGATTAATATCGAAAAGCGACGATGTCCACTCTAAAATTCTGGTTAAAATCCTATGATCATCAATTATATGAGTAGGTTTTATCGGTATTTGGCAGAAACGCCGATCGTGCACCGAGTTTCACTGGTTGTTTACGTTTCCATAAAGGCGCGGGAAATGCGCGGTGGGGGTGGGGAGGAGGAGAGGGGTAGGGGACGCGGCACGGCAAAGGGGGAGAGCAATAATTACGGCATACTCACCGACATATCGTGGTCGCGGGATGTGATTCTTTCCTGGGGTAGGCAATCCCGCCTCGCTTGTTCAGGATGTGATCCTTTGGGGATGCTTCCCGTCCCGTGCATCGTTGTGCGGCTCCAGGCAGGCAAAATAACGGTGCACCTCTCTGGTCCTCGCCGCGCTGCGGCTAGCTCTGCCGGAGTCTGGTCTGGACCGGCTACTCCAGCCTACTCCAGCCGGTCCGGCTGCTGCGCCGAGAGGTCAGCGAGGTCAGCCGGTGGGGAGCCGGGGCGACTGCGGCCCGGGGTCAGCAGACCGAGCGAGGAGCAGGACCGGTCCCAGGTGGTGCCCACTCTGGACCTCTGGACCGGCCCAAAGATGCACGAGATGCGGGATGCCGTTGCCGCGCGCTCAGCCGCGGACAGACGGTTATAACAATTGGAGAGACTCTGGACAAAACTGCACATTTTTAGAAAGCCCCCAAGACTGGCTCTAAAGGCAAGTACCCCCCTCCTGTACTTACATGAAGACAAAAAGCGACGTTGCTCTGGAAAACAAAGGTGATAAGTCACACCTTTACAGTGGTGCTTATAATAAGACATTTTAATTTTAATGCCTTTCTATAAGTAAGGTAAGAAAGGGCCCGAAAAGTGCCCTCGGCAGTTATAATGCCTTCGCAAAGGCTATAAACCTTTAAAATGTTTTACAGGCGTGACAGAACCTTCATATTTCAGTGCTTCTCTCTTTTTATCCATTTTCTGGAAGACCCGAAGTAGACCATGAGTGAGGCTGCTGGAAAAGATAAAGGGGAAGACCACCACAACCGACGTCCAACCAGTTCCAGCACAGTTCCTCAACACGACACAGGACACGCCGCGCTGGGCCCCGAAGGGGTTGTAAAATCATTCTCAACTTGCCCGACCGTTTCCGGGTCCTCCCGTATAGATTACATCATGGATTACACGGCTGCTTACCAACTGACTCGCGGTTCGCGGGAGGCGGCCTGCCAGTCGGGGGTGGGCCGGGGGCGGGCCGGGGGAGGGCCGGGGGCGGGCCGGCGACGGCGGGATGACTGCCACATAGGCCTGCTGCTAGAGTTCTTAAAGTCGACAACACACTTTGCTGCGTATTGATAGAATGTTTGCATCAACCTCGGCATCAACTCATAAAACCTACTCTAACTCTAAATAAAGTGTATTACACAAAAGCCCTAAGAAAATATTAATCAGCGAAAAGGGACTCACTTTTTGTGGTTACTGTCTGATATCATTGAAATTTCAATTCGTAATTACAACCTTTTTTTGAGAACAGAAATAAACCGCTAGTTACTTTCGCAGCGTACAGTACAAGCCCCTCGAGATGATTTCCATCTCTGCTCGGACCGAAGGCCCGTGTCCAGTCGTTGTGGGAAGTGCCCCAGCACGGCCCGGCCTGGCCGGCGATAACACAACGACTATGGGGGTGCAATAACAAGCGCGCCCCCGCCAGACGGAAGGGTTGGGGGGTGGGGGGGGGGGTAATAAATTCTGCGGGAGGAGAAAAGGGTCCTCAGAGAAAGGACCTGCTGAAAGGACATTGTCGATGTGGACTTGCTTGACTTTGACCGGTTGTTGTATAAGGGAAGGGGGACGCGGGGGAAATATGGGAATAAGACGATCCCAGTGACTGAGAGTAGCAGCGCTACGCGGTCGAGGGGATGCTGAGGGCACGACCTCCTTCTAAAATGATGTCTTATTTTGTGTCATACGCGGAAAGCGCTCAGCGTGCTGCGACTCATTGACACGTTCGCGACCTTTATGCGAGCTCGTGCGCCATTAGAAGACAAAGGAATAAGTCGTGACTGCGAGAATAATGACTGTCCTAACAACAGAGACTCTCGTAGCTCCAACGGCGTAGACGATGCGTTCATATATACACGATCGTCTAATTCGATGGACTTTAAGGACTCTCTGATTTTGATTAATTTAGTGCCAACCCCTCCCCTTCCCTCCCATCCCCCACCTCCTTCTGCGGTCGCAGCGCCGCCCTCCAAGATGGAATCTTATTAGCTAATCAGACGCCCAGCCCCTTACGGCGGCGCCGCCCGGGGCGCTCCGCGGCCAGCGCAGCGGCGGGGGGAGACGGAACGGGCCGAGTGTTATTCGGGCACTGCGAAAAATATGTGCGCGTTAAATTGCTCATAGTGTAAAAATAATGATTTTTTGGCGTAGTCGCGCAAATTAGCGGATTATGGCGTCAGTCTCACATGAATAGATTTTAATAATTATTCTTGACAACATCTGAAAAATCTCGAAAATGTATAATTTAAATTTCCTCGTTATTTATAGGGTACGATTCATAAGACAGTTGTGATCGAAAGAACGCGTTCATGGACAAACTAGTGCTGTAGAGAAGCCCTTTTCTGGGTTGAGTCATAACTCTGTAACCAGACGATGGCTGGAGCTGCTCTTGAAAAAGTATTAACTCAATACCTCTAAGGAAGTATGCAGTAATTAGTCTAAACACGTGTTTGCACACTGGGAAAAAAACCAATGCTAGGTTTAAAAGGATTTTTATGCCTTTGCAAAGGCATTAAAAATTAGCACCCCTAGAAACGCAGTAAGTCCTACATTTGTTTTTCCAGTGTACAGAAAATACTGAATACCGTTGCAGGTACCCAAGGAAAATCCGTACGTACAACTACCTGCCGAGGTACAAACTTTTTCACTCCATACTTGCGCAAGTATACCCACAACTTGCTGCATAATTGAGAGCACGCAGTATATGTTAACACATTTGAACACGCTAGGCTTCGCAGAGTGCGCGGAGGGCCAGGGATATCCCTGAAACGAAACACGTTCCTTGCGGCAGGGCGTCTTCGGTGTTGGAAAAACCAGCAAAGACAGAGCACACAGTGGCCACGCCGCAAGGAACTTGTTAACCATTGCGTTTGCGTTGTCCTGAGCTCCGTGTGCAACTACTGCACCTCGGAGGCCGCGCGCTCCCCGCGCGATGCACTCGACGACTGAATGCAGTTGCATCTCTGGCCGCACCCTGCTCCCCCCCTCCTCCGTACTCCACACTCCGCAGTCCCGAAACCCCCTGGAGAAGAAAAATAGTCCTCCCTGATTGGACCACGATGTCGATGATGATGCAGTGAGATAGCGGCAGCCGAGGGGAAGAGGAGAGGGAAGGGGACGGGGGACGGGAGGGGAGGGGAGGGGGATCTTGATGAGGGGATGAGACCAGCCGAGCCCGGGCTGCTTGCGGCAGCGTCTGTCTTGCTCAAGGAGAGAAGGGAGAAGCTTGCCGGCCGAGGGGAGGCGGTGATGACATGATGGGCCTCCTTACCTACT